CTTTTTCTACTGTACAACCTTTTTTACATCTCGGATGCAGAAGCACAGATCAGCAATCTATAGACAATATGTTCCACAATAAAGAAGTAAGTCCTCTAGTCCCAATCAGGCTTCACTTTCTGCTCTCCCAGTACTCTTGTTTGGGTGTCAAATCTCACACCTTGGGCCATTAGATATTCGTTCACTTAAGGCTGTTTAAATGGTTTGCATGTGCTCCAGGACAGGTGACAAAGTTAATGCACTGAAATGAAAGTTTCAGTCTTGCTCTGCAGACCTGCGGTGCTCTCGGTTAGACCTATTTTAAAGTCCATGCTGCTCAGGGAGTGCAATTTGTTTAGCCCCAGCAAGATTTATTTCCAATTCTGACTTTTTTTGTGGATATGCTAACAACAACGTTGTTGAATGTTTTTTCAACCAGTTTCCATCAATGATGAGATTGTCTGGAAGCTGAGCGTTTCAACCAGTTCAGCAACATTTTCCATCAAAATTCAGTTTTGGTGAAAAATAGCAAGAGAAATTGGTAGAATGTCTCATGGATTTTCCAATCTAATTTTTTTAAGCAGCTTTGCCTGTTTCCTTGCCAACTATTGCTATTTGCTTCTTTCTGAGTTTAAATCAAACCTAAAGTTGTCCTTTGTTGATCTTCTTCAGTTTTTTTTTTTTAGTTCTTGATTTAGTTCTTGAAAACCATCCCAAACTGAAAACATGCCAATTTATTTTTCATTGGAATAAGATGTGAAAAGTTAAATGAAACAACTATTTGATGTGAAGATTTTAATTTGGGCAGAAATAGGCCACTTTTTTCATCAGAAAAAGATCCGACAGGAGCATTAATTGGTTTTCTGTCATCTGTGAAGTGTCACTAGTTGCTTTAGGGGTGCTTTCTTTGTCAGGAGCAGGGAGTTGTTGAGATACTCTGCTTTCCTTTCCTGAGGCATCTCAAAATATATTAGTGATACTTCACACAGGTGTAAAACCAGTGTGCCCTAGGTAATACTAATTCCTGTGTGAGCAAGTGTGTGCCATTCAGGCACCTGTAGCTTAGGTTAAAACTAATTATCAAAGATTAAACATTATATCCTGATGGTTCCCAAACTAGTCTAATCCAAGGTTTAATAACCTCTCTTAATCCTAAATGCAAGGCTTGTAACTCTGGAAGGGATCAGCCCAAGCTATGATGGCCAGATACATATCTGAGCTCTCCCAAAACTTGGGAGATGTGTTGTTCTGTGGTTTCTCTACAGCCTATTATAGACAGAAGGGGTAGCTATTATTTTTATCCCTGACCCAATCTTCCCCAAAGTTCACCCATGTTGGATTTCAGGCTTTTGTTTAATCGCATCACTATTCACTAGAGGCTGTCTTGAATGTTAGGCTTCTTGTGTGTGAAGACTGGCTAAACTTTTCCCATTCCCTCTACAGTCCATCACTGTGAATCTTCAAGTGAGGTGACATGGCATTCATGCTATAAAACACTCCTAAGGAGGAGGAATGACCTTTTTTTTTCTTCTTAAGACCAGTATACTTTGCCAGGAGTGCCTAATCAGATCATCTCCCAAGACCTATAATGTGTAACTCCAAAGTAAAAAAAACATCTCTCCTAACCGTGTGTGTATGTGTGTGTGTATACACTTCTGGTGGTGGGTCTCATTTGGTATTCTAATGAAACATCACTGTCGTTGCTACAGGAAGTAGGAAAAATATGCTGAATTTCCTGGAGGTGATGTTAGCCATCTATTTTTTTTTCCCCAAGTACACTTGAATTGCTGTTAGCCCCTGTCTACTCTACTCAATACAGAGCTTATTTAACTTATTATTTACCACTATATCTCTCCACACAGGCATTCAGTGAGCCCAAGATATGGGGTTTGTAACCAATTGCTCTCAGACTTCAATTCTCCCATTGAAGGGGTTTAGACACTGATATCTGCAGCTGTAAGGTCTGAACCCAAGTTATCCCAGGTGTGACAAGTAAAAAGCATAGTTGTGCTCAACAAATTCTAGCAGGCCAAGATGAGGCTTTTAACGTGTATCAGCTGGATGTTTTCACGTGTCCTAATGAAATCCTTTAGAGAAATGCAGGACAGAGACTGGATAACCACATACACACGCACCTAAGAAGGTAGGATTCATACTACACTGACAGCAAGCCAGGGCTCAGATCAGCCAGAGGTAATGTTGGAGGTATGGCATGATAAACATGCCCTGTTGATGGTTTATCTTGTTATATTTAGAAGGCTGCGGGCTGCTTTTGCCTCCTAAGTGCATGACTGCAAATCAGTTTTGCTGACCCACATCCCAATCCAGCAAATCAGGTTGAATACTAGCATTTTTCAGATGGTACACAGAACTGCTGTGCTCCCGTGATTGTATTTGCTGCACAGGAACAGACCCATTTTGTATCCAGTATCTTACACTTCCGAAAGTGCTTTTCGAGGCTTATGGATTTAACTGGACTAAATTCATCAATGCACAAATGAAAAGGAAAGTGAATGAGGACCAAAACTAATACTATGAATGAAACAACATGGTATAAATATCAAAGGATGGACTACTGGTTATGTCACTGTAATAGATGCCAAGCCAATGAGATCATGACTAATGAGCGGTGAACCGACAGAGCATGGAAGGTTTGCTTTAGGTAAGAATCCCAAATTTCAGATGATAATTGGAACTGCTTAATTTGAAAATCTTCTGGGAGAAATCTTCCCCATACTTTCTGACTTCAGCTAACTTGAAAATGCCATTTCCAAACCCAGTAGAAACTACAAGGTATAAAGGTGCATTAAATGTCACAGAAAACAAACAGGTTTGGGGGTTTTTTTGGAAACGCATACATTTTGTTTCAAGGTTTTGGCCCACAAGTTGAGATATTTCTCTTGTGGCTCCAAACCAGTTAATCTACAAACAGTTGCAATAGTTTAATATTTAATTTATCAGTTACATAAGACAGGTAGAATAGGTCATGTTTCTACAATGTAAATTAGAAAAATTAGTCATGTTTACAATCATAAATAGGTAAAAAATACAAATTTTTTTTTTTTTTTTAATTTGGCAGAATATAATGTTGCAATGCAAATTTACCATCAAGTAAAATTCAGAATTCTTAGGGGAAAATGGAAAAAACCAAAATGAACATGCTCATTGGAACTCAAAACTTAGCAGGAGCGGAGTCTTTTGGAGTGAGTGTTTTGCTGAAAGGATGATTCAGTTGCTCTTCCTCAGTCCAGCCCTTCCTTGCAGTCAGGCTAAACAGTACGTCAGGGCCAGAAACGTGCCCCAAAAGAGCCTCAGTGAGGTCACTGCGTATGAGCGTGACGCTTTCATTTGGAACATGGAAGCAAGTGATTTGAATGGCACGGTTAGGTCAAAAAAAGGGGCTGGGCTCCAGTTCTCCTTTAAAGGTGTAGCACTGATCCTCTGGTTCATAATTCAAAGCCACCCTCCACAACGAGTGATGCATGGTGAAATCTCCATCTCGGGCTCATCAGATGCTTTTGAAATCTCAATGTGCAAGTGAAATGTCATACAATTTTTTGTCCAGATATGCAGCACCTAATGCAGGTGCATGCTGGGGTAACAGGTGTGTGCTTAACCAAATACCATGTCAAAGCATCAATGTTATTTTAATGTATCCCAACAGAAGCAAGGGATTTAACCATGAGCCTCATGCTCTGATTTTAATTCATGTTTTTGTCATATGTACACTAAGTGTGACAGGATGCTGTGCAAGATTACAGACCTATTCCAAAGCCTGCAACAGTCAGTGAGTTCTTTCATTGACTTGAATGCACTTTGGATCATGTTTTTCTTGTTTCTTCAATTGTTTATAGCATGAATTATAGACAGCATTAGCTTTAACTCAACTCTCTTGATTTTGCTTGATTAAAGGTTGTTTTTTTAATACAGTATTTTTTCCCCTTGCATAAAGTTCTGAAAAAATCCACTTGGAATCATATTGGCTTAGGGCAGCCCAGAGGGATTTCCAAGACATCTGGAGTGGCCTAAAAATGACTACTGCCAATGGGCAAGCCTAGTGAGATGTCATATTTCCCATCACAAATTGTGGATGTGTTTCCTTTCATACTACAGTAACTGGAAAAGCAAACCAAAGCAATATCATATTGGCAGTTATTGTTCCTGGAAGAAGAAGGAACAAGAACCCTCCTGCTCTCCCCCCGCCCAATTTAAAAACACAGATAGACTCAACCTAAGGCAATGCTCAACCTACAGAAGCTAGCTTTTTATTATTATTATTTTGGTTTTGGTCCATTGTGAACTTCTAAATTGCCCTGTCTGTTTGCCATGAGTATCTACAAGACTAGAAAGAGCATGTGTGTGTGGTGCAGTGGCTAGCTAGCATGTGGGACTTTTTTTTTGCAAATGTAGGAATGTTAAGAATTGGATATGTTGCTCTTTAAATGGCAGAATCTGCTACTAACGGACTCTGCTGCCAAAAGTGTGAGCAGGTATGACTTTGCTACTGAATCAAGCCTTTTCTCCACATCCCTTTGGATAGCCAAACCATGGTACCACATAAGGGAGGATTCTTTCCGGAGAATGATGCCCAACTAAAAAGGGCTGGTTTCCTGCAGAGTCTCCCTGCCAAAACACACTATTGTTAATGAAACACGGTTCTCTCAGAAAGTTGGAAATTCTTTAGGGAGTTGAACCCTTACTATAATTCTTAATTTGGCCTAGGGATATTGGTGACTGATCAATACTCAGCTCAGGTACAGCAGTCCAGCTTTTTAGAAGCTTAGCACTGCCTTACTTAAATTTGTTTAAACTGGAATGCTAGGTAATGCTTTAAAACCAAAGAAAATCACATACCGTTCTGACTCTTCACTTGAAACCCCTAACGCCCTATCTCCTAGAAGACAGAGTCCCAGCCCCCATAAATGCATTCACCAACAGAAGCAAAAACGATGGCAACATGGTCCAGTGACAGAACAGGGTAAGG